GCAAGGGAGGAGACTCCCATTTCCATAACCTGGGCTTAAAGCCGCTGCACCTTGGTGGATACTGAACCACGCCAGAAGAGCAGTTCTCCTGCGAGGCGCTTCGGGAAAACTGCCTTCTTGGACACAGATACATGGTATTTCCCCTGCCGGGTTAAGAAGCCACTATGCTTGATCTGAGCCCTCAAGAGGCTGAGAAGCGATTTATAAAGCCATTTTAGCAGACCTCTGGCTTTTTCAATGTTTGCTGGGTCAGGCCTTTAGGTCCATCCTAACCAGTCTCCTGTCACCCAGGAGCAGAGTGGATGCAGAAAGGGAGTCAACCAGGTACGGCCAGGGTTCCTGCCCCCCACCCCCCGCTTGCAGCATCCAGCATTTGAGGTCTAGGAAGCTGATGCAGAGGCCATGCCCCTCATTCTCACGCTCAATAGCTCCTGATGCCTCTTTCCTGCAAGAATTTGTCCAATCCCTTTTCTTTAATAGAGCTCAACTGGCAGGTTCCACAACACCCGCGGCTTGTACCAGCCCTGCCCGCCCAGCCCACCGACTCCCCCTCTCCTTCCCCAGTGCAGGAACACACCCAGGGGCCCACATAGGGAGGAAGGAAGGAAGGGGGCCGTCTCCTGCTACACCGGGGCCGTCTCCTGCTACACCAGCTCCGTTTCCTTGAAGCGCATTCTTTACACAACAGCCAGTTGTGTCACACATTCCTTGCTTTATTTCATTTACAAAGAAGTTACCACAAGAAGGCACAAAGCACAACCAGGGTGGGGCGGGGGCTGCCTGCAGGTGACACACAAGAAGCAAGTAAAATGGGGCAGCCCCGCACAGCAGCTTTCTTCTCAAGCTACACCAGCTCCGTTTCCTTGAAGCGCATTCTTTACACAACAGCCAGTTGTGTCACACATTCCTTGCTTTATTTCATTTACAAAGAAGTTACCACAAGAAGGCACAAAGCACAACCAGGGTGGGGCGGGGGCTGCCTGCAGGTGACACACAAGAAGCAAGTAAAATGGGGCAGCCCCGCACAGCAGCTTTCTTCTCAAGGAGCTGGGGCACAGGCACCACGCCAGGGGGGCGCACGAAGGGGCCGAGCTGCGACTGGTGTCCGGGTCACAGCCCGTCTCGTCTCC